TTAAAATAAAATCGAATAAATATGCACGTGTCATTTGCACGTCGAAGTGCCTTTCAATGTAAAATGAACAGAAAAACAAAATTAAACATTTTATTTCACACTCAATCTCGCATTTTCAAACTTTTGCCGGTCTTCTCATTTACCGGAATTGGACAAACAAAAGCGAATATCTCGAATTGAGAAGTTTCGCCACCTCTGGGCGGTAGAAATCCGCGGAACAAAGGACTGAGTTGATCCTGGATCAACCTGAAATCCTACTTTGGAATTTCCGGGAATATCTCGCGTCGTTGCGAATATTCAACCGGCCGGTTGAAAGCGCGTGTTCAACTGAAAAAAAGAGCATTGCAATATCCCTCTGGAGATTGGGATTTTGTTCTCTCGTATTTCGCGACTTTGAAATGTAGTGTATAAAGCGCTGTCGCGCTTAAATTAACCAAAGCAAGCGTGAAATGTAAGTTTGATCGAAGGATTTAAAGTAGCTTACATATATATATATATATACATATATATGAAGTTACCGTGTGTGTGTGTGTGTGTGTATAAAAAACGAAATTGGATCTGGATTGAAATGTATGTCACAAGGATATGAATTCGCAATAACGCTACATAATTGGAATTTGTATTTTCGCTCTATCGAATTCCGAATTACCGATTCTGATATCTCTCGCACTTCACGTATTTCTCTTTCTTCTTGTATCATGTACAATATATTTTTTCTCTCGCCGAGAGAGTGTGTCGTATCACTTTAAACACATACCATATATTTCTGCACATGTATCGTTGCACTTACGTTGCAAAGAGACGCGTGTCCCATTTTTCATCGTCATTGCAGAAATTATTGAAGAATTGTAAAAGACAATTTTTTCTCAGTAAATTATGTTGTTAATCTTTGAATTCTCTAATAAAAGCAAATAAGCGCTAAATTCCGCACAATTATCGACGTGTAAATATATATCTATTTATACATCCGATCGAAAAAAGTGTCTCCGCAAAACTTTCAAAGGATAAGCGATAAGTACAGTAAAATTTTTGTAAAACTGGTTTTGATCACATAACCGCAACCTGCGACCGAACCCACACACGAAGCGAAGTCGAAGCTATACGGGTTATATGATATCCCGTTCATACACTTTTTTTTTTTATCGATCGCTTAGATTACCCGAAGTACAGCGGATAGATTAGTTTTTATACCTCCAGCGTGTTGCCAGATGAAAGACGAAGCTGGGCAACGAAGATCGACTTACGTATTATCGCATCACCGATCCCCTCCGAGTGAATCAAGGGCAAGCAAATAAAGATCGCTATATCTACCGCAAACACAAGCATGTATGATGCGCAGAACACGCCGTAAACAAAGTCGTATTGTCCGGGCGTATTTTTCGTCTAGCGGAAAGATAAACCAATGAATTTTAACAACAGGTCGTTTTAGTTTCACATTATGTATTCCGCATTCGTCGCAGATCGTTGCTTGCGTATCTCTCTGCAAACGAGTCTCCAAAACTAAAATGTGTCTACGTGTTGTTGATCCTCGATCACCGCAATATATATTAATAATCGCTCATTCCATGCATTGCTCATTCCTCGCAATCAAAAACTATCTGATGCATTTACCTTTTGATTCTGCAGTGCGCGAGATGTTGTTTAATTTCCGTCGCATCTCTCTTTCCGTCCTTTGACACGATAATTTGAAAGATCAGTGTGGGGGAAACGCTCGAATATATCAATCGCTACGTTATCTTTATTAGAATGTAAAGCTCCTTCAAAGTCGGTGCCATCCGATCGAGGTGGAACTGGCACAATGCCAAGTTACGTTAAGCGAAATTCGAGCGAAAGTAGAGCAAACACTACTGACGTATATACGCGGTCTGACCGCGTCATATAAAATGATTTCGACCTCTTATCGGAGTAATTTATCATTGTCTTACGTAACGAACACAGAGAGAACACCGAATGCCAGGATAAGAAGAGAATCAAATGCGATAAAACACAAAACACATCAAAAGAAGTGACAATTAAACGAGAGAACGACGCAGAGTCCTCGCATCGAGATGACAGAGAATTATGCTTGTTGTCCTCAGGCCGCACTCGCGATCGATATACGTCCGCTTTCTTCGTGACGTAAAAAGCAGTGGCCTCTTTACGAGAAAGTTTACACGCTTCATCTTTCATTTGCGCAAGACGGAGCGTGTAAACTGCGTGTTGTTTGTTTTGTATAAAGACGAGGAAGAGAACAGTCTGCGCAAAATTAGCTTTGCTTAATTACAACCGGGTGTTTAAGATGTTTCGCAGGTGCAAACCTGTTACTTTATCTTGGAATTCAGTCGCGCCAAAGAACTTACGTAACTGGCAATGTAAGTCATTTATCAATTGTTGGAATTATTGTAACAGAGTTCGCTCGAGATTAACTTTGCAACACACATAGTTGTTTCTACGTGAATGAAGATATAAAACTGTAGATTAGATAAATTATTTATGAACGAAAAGAAATCGCGTAATCTGCGTGGTTTCTCGATCACAGCGAGTTTAACAGACCACACCGCTATTGTAAGGGACAGAGCGAAGTGACCGTCGTCAAAACTGATTATTTTCTAAGCGACAAAGCACGAGACGTTGTCAAGCAACTGACTGTCTATGTCAACAGACTGTTGCTAACGATTCCTAATTAGACCTAATTTCGACGTTAAACTACTTTGCCGAGGGGAGGACCAGTCGAAGAGACGGCCTCGCCCTTTTACTCAACAAATAGAACGTCTTCGCTCGTTCGAAGACCAATGGCTGAGCAAGGAGTGACAGAGTGAAATTACGTCGTTAACCTCAGAAAGGTCCTAAGCTCGCTATTACGTAGAATGTTACGTGCTTCTATGTTCCCTTCAATTTGTTCGCTCAGCATATTGGCACATTTTCAACGAGCGACAATTTCTCGCAAATTTCAACGTCATTATATCGACACTTTGCCTTTCAAAGAATTTGCACAAAATGGAACATATTTTACACGGCTCAAATCTATGGAAACCGACGCGTCGTCTGTTTCGAAATAATTAAAAAGACGAGGGGAAACAAATTATTAACAATAAAATAATAACGAAGTTACAATAATATTGCGTGTAGTTGAGTTTATTAACTTTCATTAACCTCACACTATTGTTTCTATTTTCTCCGTGTGTGTGTTATTAAAGTCTTTATGTTCGAACATCAGACAAATGTCATACTTTTAAATAATAAAAATTGCAAATGCACAGAGCTGTTAAATGTGTTGAAATGCGCAATTCGCGGTAATGAAACGTGCAGTCGAGACTTATGTTCAATGTCTCGAGTCTCCAGCTGGCCGACTACGCATTGCATACTGTTAAATTGTTCGAAGCAATTATGTGCGGTAAAAGCGTCACCAAGTTTATATAGTACATCGTTTAAATGTGCAGCGCCAGAAGTTAGAAATTTCTTTTTATTTATTTTTTTTTTTGTTGCAACAGTTTGAAGTAAAAATGTTATAAATGTTTATTAATTAGAAGAAAAAATGCTCTATATTCAACAATATGACAAAATATTTCAATCACGCGAAATATTGATTGGACTTTTGTGTCTGATAGATTCTGTCTGTTCACAGGATTATGAATAGGTCGAAGTTAAAATTATAACAGAAGAAAGTTCTTGTTGAATAGACACAGACTTTGTGACAACTTCTTTTTGAAATCCATAAAAATCCGCGATACAGCTTGCTCATCATTCATAATCGACGGAAATTTCAACAGAACTCGATAGTTCTGGATCGAAACTCAGTTTTAACTGCATTTGCATTGAAATTAGAAAATGGCGCAACGACGCGATGTGAGTTTGGAAGAATCATGAAGTAGCGTGATGAAAACGACTTGAACTGGCCGAAAGTTTCGGGGCAACTTCCGTTAAACTGTATATGAAATAATTAAACTCCCGCGGCAGACCTCCCAAATATAGGTCGTGGTAAATAGCAACTGGGTGTCACATTAAGCGGTGCTGCCAGACTACATCATATGATGGAAGAACAATATGGCTGCCTACGGGCATTTATACCGCGTCTTTGTTTCATGTCAGCTTAGAGTAATATGTTATGTCGTTGCCTTTACATAACGCGCGCGGCTCCAACAAACCTCGGGCGCGTTTATTTTCATTTGTGAAGTTTTCAGTTGATTTTGCTTAATTAATCATACATCTCACTCCCGTATATCGACATATATCTCAATCCCATTTACCGGTGCTCTCAACGCGGTACGTGCGTTGCTGAAAAACAACGCGTAACACTTTTAATCAAGTAAAATTGCGAGTTACGAGTCTGGTCACTCGGCTGCGCGCATTAGGGTCAATGCCAATTGGTCATGGCAGTTGAAAAACACTATGAATACGTGTGTGTGACGATTAATTCCTTACTGGAACAATACAAAAACATATCTCCCTTATGGGAGATATGTATTGTTCCAGCAAGGAATAAACAATACAAAAACATATCTCCCATGTAGTCATTTTCATCTTTCTGAAAGTGTGTTTTACAGACGTAACGATTTTGCCGTACGTTTATTAGAAATGGCTTTTAATAGACAGAAAGGAAATTTGTTATGTGCGAAAACACATTTATTTATTGCAAAAATAACTCCCGACTAGAGAATTCTAGAAAATAAATTGTATATAGAATTCTACCATTTTTTCCTGCACGTACGTATACACCTGTGTCAAACGAGTGTGTGATCGTGATGAAAGTCAAAGGTAAAAAATACAAACGAGACAATAATAACAAAAACTAGCTTACATTCTCGAGGCGCGCGCGTAGGCGTATTTACCTAATTATAAACAAACTCTATCGCATACTTTGTAATACGCGTTCTACGCATCTCTCCTCTACGCATGAACTGCAACTACAAAATACTTGCCGAAGAGACTAAGAAAGTACGACGTGATACTTATTTGCGCGCGTGTTATACGGTTCTCGTCTCGGTTTTCTTCACTCTCGCTCTCGTCAATCAAAAACTTACCCCAAAAGAGCAGATTCCTCGGCAGTGGCTGCTGTCGGCATCTTGTTTTTCTCCCTAAAACAAAATGGCGGCGAATAATCACACACGCCCGGCCCTAGCATCCTGCCGCGTCTCTCTCCTCACGCATTACAAGTGTGCAATTACAACAAACAATTGACAACACAGATTAAAGCCATTTGTTTAGAGCGGAAGAACAACAAATATTATTGTGCTTGCTTCAAAATCTACCGGCGTTCTATTTTGTTCGTTAAGAATCGGCCTCTTTTTCTCTCTCTTTGTTCTGCCGGCGGCGTGATTTCCGGGTCGTCATTTAGCATACGGCACATTTGAATGTAAAATTGCCATTTTCCACGGCCAATTAAACCGAGGGCTGGACAACCTCGTGCCCGGATATTACGTACTTGAATAAATAGCCTTCTGAAAGAACCCCGGGCAGAACTCCCGACTGAAATTGAAGAGTATCACTTCACAATTTTAATGGCTGGTACAATATAAAAAAAAAACATGCTTTCTCTTCTTAATTAAAAATTCCGAAAAGGGTAAGCAATTATCGAGTCATCCAAGATATTTCAGTCTTCGTGTTCTCTTCATCTGTTGCTACATAACGCGATGAAATTTGACATTTATCGACAACAATTGTTGCTCTCCTGTCGTCGGACTTTTATTGCAAATAATATTAATGTTATTTTGATTGCTTGATCTTCTATCAAATTGACAGCAATGAATACGAACGACAGCTATCAGACCCCTCGATCGCTCATCGAGGAGTCGTTCACGGTCAGAAGCCGATTCCGCGCAACGCACGCGCTTCCGTCGCGCGCCGCGAAGCGTTGCACGAACAAAAGAAGACGACGCACCGGTCGCGCGTGCAATGTAACACAGAAGCGGTGATAATAACAGTAAAACAATGATAAAATCAAATCGCAATAACAACAATGATTGCGGTCACGTGTAGACAAAGGGATGCGTGAAGCCGGTGCGTTTGTCGGTGTGCAAACGTGCGTGTGATTTGAAGCGTGAGGAAAAGGAATGATTTTTACTTGTTCCAGCTACCACATGGCATGGCTTACCTTCGATTCGCTTGCACAAGCTGATCGATAGCCCTCAACGTCCGACTGTGCGAAGTTTTGTCCGTATTACTTACGATTAAACTAGTCTAAAAATTCGACGACGAGATGGCGACTTCTAAGCTTGTTTGAACAAAGGATTAAACGCAAATTTACATACCAAGCAAATGTAAAACATGTCTCTTAAAATTATTTTGCAAAGTTACATGTATAACATTTTGCTTTATTTGTTCTTTACTTCTCTAATTTTCTATGATATTTTTTGATCATAATAGATACGCGTCTTTCTCTCAAACGCGTTTGTTTATTAAAAAAACAAAAAAAAACAAATTTCAAGAGATACGTACATTTATTTTGTATTTGTGCGTCACAATATGCAAACTGCTCGCGCAATCATTGATTGATTTCCCCGGAGAAAATAAACCCCGTATTTAATAAAGCAAAGGTTACTGGGTCTGCTGGACAGAAATTTGTAGTACGCTTACAAAATTACGAGAAAGCTTTTGCCTTGTGCGAGTTTCCGAATTATATATTATATGTTGCAATCAACTTGGTTTTCAAAAATGTTAACTTTGACAAAATGCAATGAGGGCTACCTTTGAGTTAGCATCGAAGCAAATAATCACCTTGCGAGTAATATTGAAAGTTAGTAAATTGCACATTGGATCAATATTGCTGGACTGAACTCGACAAGTAATAATTTTAATGCAAAAAAATATTATTTTCTCGTGTATTTAAATAAACAGAGTATAGAACGAAGTATAGAACAGATATATATATATATATAAAAGTTTGTTTTTCTCTTATATATTTTATACTAGTCTTTTTATATCATATATCTATTTTGATTGACACAATAGATTACAGTCGAGACAGTTATTGCTTGTTGCCGTGCAACGCGAAAGTTGTGAAAACTGCGTCGACGGGTGTACAATAATCGATTTTATAAAAACCTGTCCGCCAGAGTAGCTAACAGCAAAAGCGTTATAACCATGCCTTGATGTCTTCGACCTCGAATACCTGTCGCCCACAAACTTCTTAATGACTCCTCCGCTGCAACTAGTCTTATTGCATCCGCAATGTCTCTAAGCTCGGTGTTAAACGCGCTTGAATTTTCTTTAAATTTATTCAAAGCAATTCTCCGAAACTAAATTGTGAATTTTTTTCTGATTCGCCAGATTTTAGAATAAAAAATTATACACGGTTGTTTTGATGAAAATTAAACTCATAAATTTTATTACAATTATTTCTATTAATTTTTACACGAGGAACCGAACGTTTTATTAAATTGCAAATCGCACTAAATTTTTTAACCGCTCGAAAGGTCGACTGGATTCGAGATCGAAAAATACCAACAAGAGGCTGAAAAACGATAGTCCCTGCAACCGCACCCCTACCTGCCGCGACCGGTTTCTTTCCCGTATTCCCTCAGAGAAAGTCATTGTAGGCGTTACCTTGAGACGATCGAGACGCTCTCGCGGCGATCCTCAATCAACGGGTCCTTTTTCCGGATCTCGACCTTCGGCGAGGCGAAGCTAAACGCTTTCTTGACGGACTCGAGGACGCTCTGGCCGGTGGTCTGTGTCTGGTCGACGATGGTCGTGCTTTTGTAAACGTCTTCGCCCAGGTCGCCTAACGACCTGTACGAAGCGCCAATACCTGCCGGCATGGCGTGACCTTTCGTCGCGCTGCCTCGTTTGCGATGTCACCTTCCGACGACTTAGCCGGATGAGTCCGTTGCGCCAGATCGGGAGGATGACGATTTCCACCGGCCGAGGGTGGATGCCCTCTCGGCGAACACTCGCCTCGAAAGGCGGCGGCTGAATCTGCTGCGGCGTAGCTGCTGCCGTTGATGATGATAGGCGTGCCCGAAGCCGATATGCCAATATCGCACGTCAACAAGGCAAACGAACGGCAAACGAACAAAAGAAAGAAAAAACAAAGGTAAGGGGATTCTGTGACAGCTATCGCAACGCAGATTCGAGACATCGGCAGTCGATCGTGAATTGCGCGAGAGTCGACGACTTCTTTTTTTCTTTTAACAAAGACAATGTCGAAAAAGAAATTGCACAATTGCGATTAATTAACATAGCAACGTTTCATATTTTCTTACGACACGACCTAATCGACGGCGGCGAAGTTCCGTCAATGCAAAGTATGTATGTTTGCATTTACTCTCTTTTATTAGCGACAAAGGTAGCGTTTATTGCTGATAAAAAATGGGAAGCTCTTTCTGCCGAGTCTTTTTCACAGAATCGAGGAAATAGGCAAGTGAAGTTGAAAAGAAACCGCCGCCTCATATATAGATACTCAATTCTGTTTCTTGTATTGCAGACGTGAACGCGCATGAATTCCTCTGATCGTGTTCAGAAAGTTCTCCGCCAACGACTTTGAATTGCGCTAAATTGAATTTTTTTTTTTTTTTTAGTAGTTGCGCAAAACAAAATATTATCTAACATTTTTCTCGTCTAGAAATTTATTGTGATTTGTTGTACCGACGTAGTTTTGCAATTACGTTATTATTAGGTGCAGTCATCGTATTGACAAGCAAAGAATCGCGATAAAACTTGAGCGTACCGAGCTCGAACGAGTACTTATTGAATTTGTGTAACTTCCGTATGTCAATAACGCAACGCAATTATTGTTTATCGTGATTTTTACCGCCGTTTTTTTATCGTTCGTTGATATTTCATGTTAGTTTTTTCTCTTTACTTTCTTTTGATAAATTGAATTTTTCCACTGATTTTCCACTCCGCTTGTAATTACGTCTTATGTATTTTTTCAAGTGTTCACAATACGTTTCGCTGCAATTATCACGTAACATCGCGGAAAAAGAATTTAATTATTATTTACGTCGGAATATGTGGAATTAAATGCGTTAAAATGCTATATTATTTTACGATTCCGTGAGATGTGCAAAATTTTTTCTTGCTAGACGTTTAATATAATCTTTAATGTGCAAACAAGTTTCGCACATATCTATTCGGATTCATGTTCCAATTTAAATGCGTTTCAAATCTAGCGCGAATACAGAGAGAAGAGAGATATAAATATGTTATTTTGCATTCTGCTTTTAGCTCCGACGCATCTGGGTGCAAAATCACGTTCTGTTTACTAATGTGCGTGGAGAGAACGTAAACATTTGTGTTATTCTCGTTAAAACGAGAATGCTATTGTTTGAGGAAGTTAGATCATCAGTTCCTCGCGAAGCCAACTCGGACTTAATCTCCCGTTGCGTTGCAAATATGATTACGGAAATTCTTAGTTTTTTTTTTTTTTTTTTTGCGCACTTGCACGATCATTTGTCGCGATATGAGATAAATATACGATTGATTAAGTTTTCCATAAATATTTTAATCAAATAAGACCACGTATTGCATGGTGATTTTATCAAGAAGAAATTATCATCTCTCGAAATGACGTTTTTATACGGCGCTGTTGCCCGATAATAATGCGACGTCTTATGAAATATTTATGAAGTTACGCCACAGGAGTTATATTATCGCTCGTGGAAGAAACTAAATCAACTAAGAAGTAATCAGAACACGTAGAAGTTTTCCTCAAGCTCGCGGCTTCTGCTTTTTTAATTCGCACACACATGGACGGGGCGTTTTGTTGCAAAAAAAACTTCGAATCGAAAACGTGTGATTGCCGATGTCTCGCTCTAAATCGTTCTCGCTAAAATGTGAAAAAAAAAAAAAAACTGTGAAGTAAAAAATGCGTGTGAAACGTGTTATACAGTTATCGTCGACATGCACAAAATCCATCGATCTCGTTGTTTTTCTATCGAGAGAATCATGCATGGCGACATGCCAAACTTGAGGTGTATGTGTGTGTGTGTGTGTGTGTGTGTGTGTGAGCGTGTTTATGCGTGTCTCTTTCGTCAAATTTGTTGATAAATAGAATACGTGCGAACATGAAACAGTAATCAGTTGTCTTCTAATCAGCTATGCTCAACAGCAAACCAAGCGCGTGCGATAATTAACAAGTAATATAAGGTACAAAATCTCTCTCTCGGAGAGTTCGGTTCCTCTTTCGCTGACGATGACGAAGTATCGCAATCAGCGAGTGCGTTTCGCGAAACGTGACGCGTTGACTCGTGTGAGAGAAGCAAATAGATATTGCATGCAAAAAAGGATCGGTTTGCTCAGTACACAAATCGGATTGTGTGTGCAGATTAACGTCTGCGATTAACGCCACTTTGTTGATCCGTCGTTTAAAAGAGTCTTACGCATCTCTCAATCTTCTTTATCGAGATATCACTGATAACATCTGCATCTGCGCATCCAATTCGCGTTACGCGCGCGAAAAGATTTTTTTTTTAACACAGATGTAACTGCTTATCGATGTTGCGATGGCAAATCGCGACCCAAAAAGTCAAGCGGATTGGATTTGCATTTAACGATTCCTTTCTTTAAATGCTCACCCCAATCTGAACAATCAATCGTGGATCAATCGCAAAACTGAAACTGTAATTTGAGTAAAATAAAAAATTGTTTTTTTTTTTTTTTTGAAAAACAACATATAAACGTAGGTGTTTTTTTAGACATTGCGTGCAGCCTTCCCGTCAATTAACACTTCCGTTCGAAGAAAATTACTCCGTAACTAGATGCGACGAGATTACACACACGTTGCGATCATTAGTGTTACCGCGCGTGTTAAGAAGAATCAACATATTAAGGCAAGTCACAAAAAAAAGATTTACAAACAAAACGATATCGGTCGTGAAGAGAAACAACATTTATGCAAATGTAAAAGGCGTCATTAGTATTTGAAAGATAAAAAAAAAAAAAAAAATACTCGCAGCGACCTAAGTAGTTGATCTTCCGCATTTTTACGAGACATATCAATAAAAACCAAGATAGTTCCCGAGGAAATATGCGAGTAAAGATAAAAAGAATAAAGTTGTAACGACGGTTTACCTCTCCGACTATCTACTTTCAATTTATTGCACTCGAAGGAAAACGCGTGTCGTTTCGGAGAGCCGAGCTCTCTCTCTCTCTTTCTCTCTCTCTTCCGATATCGATGGGCATCGAGAGCGACTAGATCGGGCTCGATTTGCGGGCTCGACTTGCTTACGTCGTGCCCTCGCGCAAGCAGACGGAAAATCGATCCGGCCCCAGGACCTTTCCAAACGAAATATGCATATCGCCGTCGAGATACACGCGGTGATCACCAATTCGCCGATAAGACTTCCGCGCGCGTGTTGCAAGCGCGGAGAGCTCCCCAGGGGAGTCGCGTATTGATTTTTCGCGTGGATACTCGCGTGTAACGTCGGGGTAACCTCGTTTCTCGACGTCTAATTTTTCGCTTGACGCTTTTGCTCGACTTAACATCGGTCAAATTGTAATGCAACTAATAATAGGGAACTTTTACGGGAGTGACGACAAGTCGCAGAAATGTACAACATAGATAAATGTGAAAAATTAAAATTCTGTTAATTTTTACCGTGCAAGGCACCGTACGTGATCCACAATTGATCGGAGAGCGTAAGGGTTGCGATTATATCGAGATCTTACGTACGATCGATCGTTCGTCCAAGCAAGACACGTCTCTCTTCGTCTAGTGTAATGTTGAATAACATCAATGAAACTCACAAAGGAGCGCAATGTATATTTAAAAATATTTAACTTCCTCACGTTATCGTTATTAGGTTTTTAAACTCTTGAGATTATTAAGTCGGAAACTCCAATATTTAATTGGAGTTAAATCTTTTGTTCTCTAACAGCAGCGTGTGTTAATTTATGAGACACGGTGGTGAATGAGAATTGTTCAAACTGTCGTTGATTGTCCCTCTTCATCTATTTTATTTTAATTTGAAATGGAGAGCGTACACGCGCGCGCGCGATAATAAAGTGAAGTGAGTTTTATTATTGCGTGCCTTCTTAGAGAGACTAGAATTTCTACGTGGCAATTTACGCTCCACTTTGTCCCATGGTATTTTCCGTTCAAGTTAATATAACGTCGCGCGCCTATGGTCGAAGCTAAGTTTAACGTACGGCTCTGATAATAGCTGAATTACTGGCCCGTCAAGAAATCTTATCACGCGTGACAGTTTTATTCCCGTATCTTGTGACTATTTTTTTTTGTCGTTGCGCGCTTCACGTAAAATCGATTCGTCGTACTCGAAGTACCTGCAAGCTGTTACATACGCTATATAAGATTGTAAGAAATTGACGAGGCTGATGAGAATAGAGACACAAAGTGTTTTCTGTTTACTCTTCTTCTTTAGAAGAGAAATAAATACTTTTCCGAGGAAAACTGTGTGGAATTACACACGTGTCTGAGCGAAATACCGCGAAGCATTTAATTTCTTTTTACTTTCTCATTTGGACCTTTGAGAGAAACATCTACTATCGACATTGGCACAAATTAAAAATACGGACCATGTAAAAAAAAAAAAAAAAACTTCAGACTTATTCACCGATGGCATTCTTGTATCAATTTTAAACTATGAGAATTGATATTTAACAATTAGAGCGATTGACAGGATGATTATCTTTTATATAAGCGCGGACTTTGTGTTTTTTTTCAGGAAGTTACGGAACAAAAGATGATCTTGTGTTGGTATGTGTGTGCGAGTACTATGTAGTTAGATATTTTTTTTCTGAATCTGTCAGTGATTATTAATATCTCCTGGAGATTGTGAAGAAACAGAGGACTCAATTTTCACAAGCCGCGACGAGACAAATCTGCTTGATCGAGAACCGACATCGACGTAACCCTCACTTATATCGTCTTGCTTTCCTGGAAACGATCGATCGTCCCGGTCTAACCCCGTTTCGGCCACAGAACCGACCGTTCTCACCCCGACGGAACCGATGCGTCCGAAGGGACGAAGAGCTAGACCGTGAGAGATCGTTGCGCGTCGTCGTTGGCGCGCGATCGATCTAGCGCGCCAGATCCGACCTTCGTGGCCGCAGAGCGCGCTGGTTATGACTCAACCAACGCGTTGTCACAACGTCACCGACCGCGGTTCACCGCTGCAACCTCGATCGACAGCGGCGACGACGATGACGACGAGGTCTCTCCGCGTGCGAGCGCGGGACAACGTTGCGCGCGCGTACACGCGACCGCACCAATACGATTTCACGAACGCGCACACATGAACAAATTCCGTTCGAACTGTCACGAGCGTAACCGCTGATCGATAGGTCGAAGTGGTCGAGGGATTTCGACGAAGGGATGATGAAGAAGGCAAACGGGGAGGGGAGGAGCAGGTGTTAGGCGAATGAAGAGAGGATAACTTCGTTTCCGGACTCACCTTTTTTTGCGCGTGGTTTGCTGCGGGGAGCGGGTACCGAAGAAGAGTTGCAGCTTTCGCGCGGCCTTTAAACGCGATTACCACGAGAACCCTGACGGAGACTCGTTGCGCTTCGATCGCGGTGAGATCGCCCCGTCTGAAGATGAGGAAACGCCGCGTTTTATATGTCACCGTCGGTCGTACGCTCGAGTACACGCGTTTATATCTTTTCGATGTGACGTTACGAGACGTGTCAAGACGGAGCACCGCGACGAGACTGATGTTGAAAAACCGCACACGGTGTTCGCAACGACGTCGTACGTGTACTATTGGCTCGAGAGTACTGGCTTCAACTACGAACTGGTCAATGGGAATGCGCGTTGCTCCATGCGCGGTATACACCGGATCGAACCGGTTACGAGCAGACTGTCGACATCTAGTCGAAGAAAAAGTGCACTCTAACTATCGTTTATATATTCAGAATTCCCGCTGCGCACAAGCTAAGGTATGAAAGGAAACCTTCAGTACTCGGCCGATCGATTACCGGATGAACTTTGAAGTACCGCCCTTAGCGATGATCAAAGTGTGCCGCCGTATTGTCTCGACATTGCAGGAAACCACAATACTTAGTGTTGGTACAAGACGAAGTACCCAAGTCCACGTGGAAGGATGAAGATGACATGAACTTTTTCAATCCTATAAATGATTATTTTGAAGTTCTTTCTTCAAAGGTTGTATTAGAAAAAAACTTGAAAGCGGTCATTCTATTGTAATTTCTTACGACGCTCTTGGCCGCTGGTTTCAGCGCTACACATTCACAAAAGTAAATGTAGGAAGCTACGGAGCGATATCGGACACTTTCAGGCGTAGACGATACAAATGTCACTCGGTTTGAATCCGCGCTACATCTACTTTCAAAGTACACGTCTAATTGTCGTTTTTTCACAAAAAACACATGTACAATAATGCATATAATTTTTCATACTAACATTGCATTATATTTATTACTTTATACACATGTTAAATACATAAATACTAAAAATTAAAACATAAATATTAAAAATTAAATACGTAAATATTTAAAATTAAAACTATACGAGAAAAATTTAATATTTATATGCAAATGTGTGTGTGTATAGAAATAAAGCGGTGTTAGTATACTTGATGTATGAGAGATCTTCAGACACTGTTTGTTGAAAAAAAATACATATATATTTTCAACAAATATTATTTGAAGACTTCTCATACAGCAACCCCCCCAAAAAAAGGAAAACTCCCACTTTATTTCTCTGAATATTTTAATCCGATTTCAGTCGACGATAGTTCGGACATTATAGAATGAGTTTCGTCACCTTTTTTCAACACAGTTTTTTTTATCATATCCATAGATGAATATTTCAGATCGTAGGCTAATCCCAATTTCTGACATGTTTCAATAAAAAACGTGGTGTAATTTATTTTGCTTCCTGTCTCGGACGACCTGTAGTCCCACAGAAACACATGATGATAGTTGTGAAAATCCTTCTCCCATTACCAGAAAGTTGATAATATCGTTGTCCGGTGGTTTTAGATCTGGAAAATATAATATAAATATAATATAAAGAAACGCATAATTTATGCGTAAACAACGTGTTTGAAAAAGTCAATTCTTTTGTTTGAACTCCGGACTGAAACTCGGACGTCGTACTTATTGTATGGTCTGGTGCCCCATATATGAGCAACGCTGTTGATGGTCCATATCGAGTTTAAACTGAGCATGTAACGTATAAACACTTGCCACACGACTTGCTCTGCTCCAGGTCTCCAGAAATACACGGGTATTGTCGAAGGTAAGATAAAACAGAAGAACAGTTGAAGCGGCATGTAGTATCTATAAAAATAAAATAGATTTTAATTGCTCGAGATAAGTTCTGTGTGAACAAGTATTTAAGTCGTTTTAAAAATATCAAAGAAAAAACTCAATTAGAAACAAAAAACATCATGGTTGTATTTAACAAATAAATTATTAAGGCATTCGTGTCTGATAAAAACCAAGATAAAACAAATATAAAGAATATAAGTCTTTAAAAACAGATTCTATATCAGTACTTTAAGAGAAATTGATATAGAAATATAAAAGTAGATGTAGAAAACAAATATAAAGAATATTGTGTTTTTTAGAAGAAAAAAGAATAATTACTTTTCATTGAAGGTTACGACGAGATCCGATAAAACGTCCGATAAATCGAGCAGTTTACTTTTTTGCGTATATTCTGGATGTTCCTTCATTATCACCCAGCCGACGTGCGAATAAAATTAGCCTCGCCTGGTGTTGTGAGGATCGGCGTTGGTATCACAATACTTATGATGCATGCGATGATTCTTTACCCAGTCAAGTATATTATTCTAAAAAAAATGCATATTATTTTAAATTATTAAAATATTATTAAAATACATTCCAAATGCATCGTGTTTATTCTATCATTTATATACTTATTCAGCAACTGCATAACGTAACAGATTGTTTTCTTGCACGCAACAAAACAATCAAATTTACAATTAAAAAAATTAAAATTACTTGTCCACATGTGCTGAAGCATATCAAAAGAATAATTCTTAGCGGTAACTTGGCCTTGTAAGACTTGTGACTCCAAAATCGATGTGCGTCACCAGACATGCCGATATGAGATATAACATACGTGCCGAGAACTTCAAAATATAAAAAAAAACATGTAAAAAATATTTAAAAATACATACAATAACATCGAAACAAAACTGTGAGACAAAAACACTTACTCCATAAGTGTAGTCCATGGATTTTTCAAATAGTGGAAAGTCATTAAGTTGTATAAACCAACGGCGTGTAACGCGAAGATTATTAGAACCTTTGACCACACTATATCCGTTTCGAAATCGAAGAGACTTGATATCATTTTTCGAATCTTCTCGAAAAGAAATCCAACTTTATTATGAACATTGTTGACAATGTTCATAATCTGTTGCTCTACTATCGTAATAAAGCATTCAAACAAACTCAACATTCTTCTTTTGGTTGCTACCAAATTGATATAGTTTTTAGAGAAAAAAATTCACAGAAGACATGCGCAATATGAGATAATATTATTAGAATAAAAAAATTTTGATATAATATTACAGTTAATAATTAAATTAAGTTATGTAGCTTTTGCTACATAACTAAAATTTTTTTATTTCGCGATGAAACTAATTTATCTCTTGATGATTTGTTTGTCGATCACACCGAACACTTTAGTATTATTGGTTTTACAAAATAAGATCTTTTTTTATCACCATTTTCCACACATAAATGTCGTACGGACACTTAAATGGTAGTAAAAATACTGTATCAAAATATTGTTCTAAGAAATTGTCAAGTAATATTGGCAGTTTTTTATCGATTTGTGTTACATCCACTTATCGACGATAAAGTAACACGAATTTAAACCGAATAAAACATACACGCGTGAAAGTGGATGTAGCACGGACTCAAACCGAGTGACACTTCGTATCGTTTCTACGTCTGAAAGTGGATATCTCTCGCTTTGTAGTTCCTACATCTCCTTCTGTAAATGTACAGCGCTGAAATCAGTGATCGGGAACGTTTTAGATTTAACTTAACTAAAATTTTAAATCTTGAAGTAAACGTACGTTGAAATATGTGCGATACTTGGCACACAAGATTTTTCCGGTTACATCCAGTTTAAACATTGTTCCAGTTGCGTAAATATATTCTTGTATAATACGTTAATGTTACCTTCAAAAGAAACAAAATAGAATAGAAGCAAAATACGACAGATACGAAAGATATTAAGACAAGTTATTGTGTATTTTTATGTTTAAATACGTATTTATCAGAGTAGCGCATAAAGCCTACACTTTGTCGATACGTCGCGCCACATACTTCGCAGTCCTTCGCAGTCACTTTGAAAAAATGTAATATTTTTGCATTTTCAAACATTACGTTTCATCGCTCATCTAAGGATCTTTCGGTTGCCGCTCGTTTACTTCTCTCTCAAATTAGTCCGCACGAGCTGTCCAAGCGGCTGTCTCTCGTAATCGAGCCGAACCGAGTAGAAGAATAATGGAACAGCGGATCAGAAGTACTCTCGAGCGGGTTTGAGAGGCGCTACGTTTTATGGAATTCACTCGGAGACGAGTGAAGAGAGATTAAACGCGAGGTGGAGGAAAACTGCTGCGGTGAGATTCTCGCGGATGGAATCGGTGCTCTCGGAATTGCGGTACGTACGCCGAAAAGAAGTGGGAAATTTGAAGTGGCGAAGAACCTCTCTATTATGCCCGGCTCTTTTTTTGATGACAAACGCGAAGTAAAATCGAGGACATCTTCCGCTACGTAGATCCCAAGCAGCCAAGTAATCCGTCTCGTGGATTATCATATAACGAATCTGCTTTATTTATGTTCGGTTAAAAGGATTTTACGCGCGCGACGTGTCGGGAGGCACAAACACATCGCGCGCGATGATTTAAAGAAATAACTCCTGTATGTCATCCTGCCACGCATCTGGCACCGTGGGAAAGTCGTAACAAATTCAGATGATCGTAAAAATGGTAGAATCATGAATGTTCGAGAAGAAATATCAAAAGTCCGCACGCGGAAGAGGGTGCGAAATATCCAGGGAAAGATCTGACGTATCTTTTCACATTTGTTTACGAAGTCCGTCTATATATACGCGAACCCGTAGGTATCCGACCGCGCGACCACCACCTTGAGAACTTTCACCCTCTACTTTTACAAACAACTTCCACCTTTGAGCGTCACTGCTAACCTATGGAATCCTCCCTTCACGAGATGATATATACTGCCCTGAGTATATTCATCATAAAAATGTATATTTATGTATACTTCCGCTAGCCTGTAGCTCGGTTACGCGTACATATATTGTTACCGCACGTCACTCCCGCGGGTTAGGTTCTCGTCGGACTTAGTGCCACCCTCGTTTCACGTTCGCAAAGGGTGTTTTATAATGCGCGCGGAATGTAGCGGACATATTTTTCCCGACCGTCCGGTTATGCTGTATTCCTTGTCGACAGAAGAAGCTCGGTCCTTTGTAGAAAAAAAACTTGTCGAGAGCGGTATTTAGTTTGTCAACCGCCATGACGAATCGCCGCGAGGGAGAATTGCTTTACATGGAACATCCAGCGTTTCCGTGTCGTATCATTTAGATGCGTGCGGGAAATAAAATGTGTTTTATATTTCACGTGAGTTTTATGAACGATATACTTTTAATGGTATAAAGATAGAATTATATTTTTCATTACGTTACTGAGTTCGAAAACATAGTAATGTTTAATTAAATAATTAAATGCACATAATTATACAAATATAATTAAGAAAACTAATC